CAATTTAATGTGCACTATTTCTGGCAGTCTGCAAAGGCCTTTATTTTACTTTTTTGGCACATATATGTCATGTGTTGTCAGCCCTTGCTGAGGTTTGTGGTTAGGAGTGTTTGTTTGTGGGGCTAATAATCCTGACCCATAAACCCGGAGGAATCCCTAAACCCTTATCTGCTCCATTTTAAAAATACTTCTCATTAGTGCCCCCTTGGGAACTGAAGAACAATGCAATCAAATAATCCAGGGCCTATTGCGATGCTATGATTCCACTTTTAACTACCATGATTCCATTCTGTGGAATCCTGGGATTTGTAGTTTAGGGAGGGATATTTACAGTTCTCAGCCAGAGGGCTCTCTACTTCCTCAAGGAAGTACAAACTCGAGGATTCCACAGAATGTAACCATGGCAATTAAAGCGGAATCATGGTGCCATAACCATGTAGTGTGAAAGGGCCCTTCAAGGTTGTATTTTCTTTATTTACTTTGTTGTTGTTGTGTGCCTTCAAGTCCTTTTTAACTTGTGGCGACCCTATCATGGAGTTTTCTTGGTAAGTTTCTTCAGAGGGTGTTTGCCATTGCTGTCCTCTGGCGGTGAGAGAATGTGACTTCCCCAGGGTCACCCAGTGGGTTTACGTGGCTGAGCCAGGATTCGAACCCTGGTCTCCAGAGTCATAGTCCAATGCTCTAACCACCGCACCAAATATACTAGTTACGTATATATTCTGCTTTTCCTCTGGTGAGTTCAGAGTTGTGTAAATGGCTTTCTGCACCCTACTTTTCCTCACAACAATTTTGTGAGGTAGGTCAGGCTGAGAGTGAGCGACTAGGCCCAAGGTTACCCAATGAATTTGATGGCTAACTATTTACCCTTGGGACCACCTTCTACATCTACATGCATATGTTATGCCCCCCCCCCCCTCCCAACATAGTAGTATATGAATAAAAATACTTTGGGCCTTTGCATACTGCCAGAAATAGTGCACATTAAATTGAGGCACAGCCCTGGCTCAGTGCTTGGCAATCATGGGAATTGTATTTTTTCTGAGACATTGGGCCTTCTCTGTCAGAGAGCTCTGGTGCCACAATAAATTACAGTTCCCATGATTCCCTAGCACTGAGCCAGGGCACTGCCTCAATTTAATGTGCACTATTTCTGGCAGTCTGCAAAGGCCTTTTAGTTTATCGTTTGGATTAGAAGAGTTTATTTAGGTAAATTCAATATTGAACTCAATGCATGTGTAAACTTTACACATTAAAATGTTTGGGAAGAGGAGGAGGAGGAGGAGGGATCAGAAGTGCAAAGTCTCACACAAGCAACTTTCACACACACACCGAAAGTGTGTGTCCTGTTCCACTGTTTGAGAATCAATGGTTTGGTGGGGAATTTGAACCTGAATCTCCCAATCCAACTCCAGTACTGTCACCACTACACCACTCTCGTTTGCAAATGAATTCCTTGCATTTGTAATCTCTACCAAACAAGCAAGTGTATACCAACTCCCAGTTTGCATTTTCAAATTGTAAGCACATTTCATCTCTTGCTTCACTGTGGACTGCTGCTTTCCATGTTGATGCTGCCATTTTTGTAGAGTTTTAAAAATAATCTTTTTATATTTTAATCGTATTGTGATCTCTCTCAGAGATTTGCAAGAGCTCTAAGGACGTTATCACACGTGGGCCAGAAAGCGATAATAAAGTG